AAGAATGCCAAATCTCTACCTACCATGACGATTCATACTACAGGAGAAAAGAGTGCTGTGCAGCTTGTTCCTAGTTTGCATGTCCTTATGAAGTACAAAATGATATTTAACACCAGCCCTGTGGTGTACTGTGGTTGAAAGGCTTTAGACCAAGTGCTTCCCAAAGTGGGAACTTGGGATCACAAGTCATGTCGCATGCTGTAATTTTGGGGTCATGTGCTCAGAGGCAACAATGATGACCATGGAGCTCTAACCTAATATTACATCTGCACTGCCATTCTAACTGGGTAGATGGAAATGTTCAAGCCTCAATCTGATGTCACAGCAGGAAAGGTTTGGGAAGCACTGCCTTTGCTAGTGGCCTTGCCCCATTCTGCCTTTGCAGCAGCTGTAAAGCTTTCTGTGTCTCTCAACAAGTGATCCTGGGCCCCAGGGTATTAACCCAAGGTGATTTCAGTGGTTGTTCTCCACATCCAGCTCACCAGTTCAATGTGACACATAACCACCTAGTTCCTCATCTTTTCACTATCACTCTCTCCCTCCAAAACACTTCATCTAGGCCCAAATCTTCAGAATTGGGTCTGAATCTCAATTTTCAATGGTTATCCACTTACCTTTCCCAGAGATTTCATGGATTCCCTACAGTGCAGAAAGAGGCCATTTGGTGTATCAAGCCTGCACTGACCCTCAGATTTATTCAAACTCACCCTTTCGTTTCCCATGGCCAATCCACCTAGCCTGCACATCTTTGGACTGTGGAGGAAACCCACACAGACACAGGGAGAACATGTAAACTCCACTCATAGAGTCATCCAAGGTCAGAATCGAACCCAGGTCCCTGGTGCGTGAGGCAGCAGTGCTAACCACTGAGTCACCATGCTGCCCTGGATTTCTGGATAAACTTCCAGAACAGTACAGTCCAATTCAGCTATTCACACAGTAGAATTCACACAGGGAGTAAACCGGATTAGCACTGAGCACACCCTTTTTTCATAGCAATTCCCACATTATTCCAGGGTTTAAATGTCCTAAAGCCACATACACAACATAATCAGAGAAAGGATAAGGGGATGGAGGGAGGTTCATAAGGTAGCAGGTGAGTGAGAAGCATCTTATCTGATGTTGAGTCACCAACCACTGGCAATGTGTAGTTGGGGTAGTTTTTTTTTGTCACTAAGACAGTCTTAACAAGAAAATGTGCTTATATTAATCAAGATGTAGTTTATAACCTGATAGCAATCATGTACAAGCAAGTTAGACAATGGGTGATGTGTGGAAAGAGGTCTTCACTCTACCCCAGGCTGTTCTGCCTTAACACCCAACTGTCAGTGTAACATCTTCAGACTGGGTTGGAGCAAAATACAGTCTCCAACAAAACTATTACCTTAGGCAGCAAGGAATCCAACTGGGTGGAATTGGAGCAGGTGGGTTGGAGCGTAGAATAAAATAAAAACAGAAAGCGCTGCAGAAATTCATCAGGTCTGGCAGCACGTGCGGAGACAGAAATAGAAGACTAACATTTCAAGCCCAGTTGACTCTTCCCAGTTTTCAAGCATCAGGTAATGGCCCACAGGAGGCTTCTGCAGAATGAACTGCATTGGGACTTCCGCATGGTCCTGGCACTGAGCTCCATTCTACACTGTTACAACGACCACCTTCTCGTTGGCAGTGTTGCTGTCACTCACTGCCCTCGCAGCACAGTTTGACTCCCTCAGCCCAAGTCAGTTTCTTACAGGAAGCATTTCAGACTGGTGTGGGCTGCAGTTAAATGGGGGCGGGGTAGCTTTAGGTAGCTTCTAGAATGGAGACTCCTGTACAGGCACCTCCTGTTAGGAACCTGCTTTGGAATCCACAAATGCAGCAGGAGGGAGAATCAGCAATGAGACTACCTCTCATTTTTTCAGGAGTCAGTGGGCTGTCTTACCTCATTTAAATGTCCAGCAGCACAACCAGACCCTTATCTGCTGAAGAGGGTAAGTATGGGGTTAAGGTGGCAGATAGGCAAGATGATAGGTGCAAATTAGGTGACAGAGTGCTAAGGCTAGGTTGAGGGTGGTTGTGGGGGAGGGTTGTGTTGTGTCCAGCAATGGGGAGGGTTGGGGTAGGCCAGGGGGTTGGGATGGTTTCATAACCTTGTGGGAGGATTGTGTTGGTTATTGGGGCTCAGGGCCACGGTTCAGGGTATGTCAGGTCTGGGACATTGGGGGAGAGGGGGTGGTTTTGGAATCATCTTGGAGACAGCAAGAACCGCAGATGCTGGTGTCAGCGTCAATACAGTGTGGAGGTGGAGGAACACAGCAGGTGAGATAGCATCAGAGGAGCAGGAAAGTCAATGTTTCGGGTCTGGACCCTTCATTAGTAGAAGGGTCCCGGCCTGAAACGTCAACTTTCCTGCTCCTTTGATGCTGCCTGACCTGCTGTGTTCCTCCAGCTCCACACAGTATTGACTTGGAATCATCTTGGGTGCATAGATGGGTTGTCTGGTCACAGAAGGGGGGTCCAAAGCATGGGGTGAATAGTAAGCAAAGACGTTCAGTTTCATTGATGGTAGACAAACAGGAGGCTGGAAGAACACAGCAAGCCAGGCACCATCTGGTCAGGCTAATAGTTACCCAGGAATTTAGACTGAGCTTTTAAAATTAAATTTTCCTGTTTAACTGTTAGCTTAGCTGCATCTGAACCCTGCAACTTTAATGAATTATTTTGATTCCAGACACAGGAATCCAGCCGAATCTTCCCAGGTAGTTCCCACAGAAAACCTTGGGTCTGCTCACTATTATCAGCATGTCATACACCTGGTAGAGACTGGCACTGGCCTTGTGCCTTGATCAAAGATGGCGCACCGCGGGGGCGAATCATTACCGTCAAGTTAACGCATGCGCCTATTCCTCCCACCATGTTCTGACTCTCGCGAGAATTGTGAGGGATCTTTGAGGAAAGCCAGAGGCGCGAACGACGTCCATTTTGCTGTGGTCGCTTCTGGAGGTAAGGTGTGTAGGGAGGGCGGCCGAATGTAATCCGGTGCCATCCTGCAAGGGAGAGGCTTTTTTGGCCTCCCCGTTAATCCAGGGTGATGGAACAGAGTGTGAGGAATCGAGCGGGACCTATATGGAGAGAAGGATGGGGTTTTATTTTGTTTATTTTGTTTATTTTCTGGCGGGGGAGGGGGAAGGTGCAGTGGGGTTGATTAGCAATGGCTGCTGCCTCCAGGAGAAGCTAACTGCACAATTGTGTTGTCCTCGGTCGCAATCCTCTCGGATTTACGGGGTCAAGTTTCTGAAATGCAGCAAATCAATGAGTGCATTTAACACTTAATTGTAATCTCGAGCTTTTGGGGGAAGACTCCCGTGTGTTCTGATGTTAATTCTGCAGAACATGCTTGTGGTCCAGGTTGTGGCACAGTGGTAATGTCCCTACCTCTGGGTCAGAAGGACTGGATTCAAGCCCCACCTGCAGGTATGTATCAGATGCACCTAAGTAGGTTGATTTTTTTTTAAGAGATATATATTTTTGACCCTATCTCCAGTTGTCTTCCTTTCCTGACTTGAATTGTCCTGAGTTCTGGGCTTGGTTTGAAAGTTATATCTGGATCACCTCGTCTTGTGTGTTTGAACCGGCTTTGCCTGGCTCTCTCTACTCTTTTTTTTTTTCTCTTTGAATCTGACACTGAGCTGTGTGAGGATTGCTTACCAGAAGCTCGGTTCGAGAGCTAGTTGTTAAAGGTTTAGGGTGACAAATTTGGCATGTGTGCCTTGGTAGCAGAAAACACCTCTACCCCTGTTGTAAACTTTTTTTATTGTGTGTGTCTATTCACCCATGGGATGGGCCGAGCGGTATAATTGCTGGACTGTGTTAATTCAGAAACCAAGGTAATTTACTGGGGACCTGAGTTTAAATCTTGCCGTGGCAGATGGTGGAATTTGAATTCCAATAATAATCTGGAAATAAGAATCTAATGATGACCATAAACCTTTGCCGATTGTAAGAAAAAACCTGTCTGAATCACTAATGCCCTTTAGGCAAGGAAACCGCCATCCTCGCCTGGCCTATGTGTGACTACAAACCCAGAGCAATGTGCCAGCTCATGTTTTTAGTCCAGATGGTCATCTAGATTCAAAATATTAGTTTGCGCTCTATGGATGCTGGTTGACCAGGACAAATTCCAGCATCTGCAGTAATTTGCACCTACAGCAGTGTGGCTGACTCTTAACTGCTGTCTGGGTGATAAATGCTGGCCTAGCCAGTGATGCCCACATCTGTGGATGAATAAAAAAAAATCTCTGGCTGTGCCAGAAATTTGTCGGCCTTCCCTGATTGTCCAGAGGACAGTTAAGAGTCAACCACATTGCTGTGGGTCTGGAGTCACATGTAAGCCAGTTTCTTTCCCTAAAGGACGTTAGTGAACCAGATGGATTTTTTCTGACAATCGGCAATGGTTTTGTCATCAATAGACCAGATTCTATTTATTGAATTGAAATTTGACAATCTGCCGCGGTGGGATTTGATACACCTTATAAAAACCGAAAGAACTGCGGATGCTGTAACTCAGGAACAAAAACAGAAATTGCTGGAAAAGCTCAGCAGGTCTGGCAGCATCTGTGGAGGAAAAAAAAATCAGTTAACGTGGGATTTGAACCTGGGTCCCCAGAGCATTAGCTGAGCTCCTGGGTTAATAGCCAAACGATAATACCAATAGGTAGTTGCTTCCCCCCATGAATAAAACCAGATGGTGTTAGGAGAGCAGAATCACAGGGAAGGAATGTTAGAGGGGTGTGTTGGGGTTGGCAGGGAAGGAATTTCAAACAGTCGTCAAGGTTATTGGGACTTAATGTTTCTGTATCTTAAAACACTTTTGATGATGTCACTTGTGGCTGCATGGGTCAGAAGTTGAATCAGAGTTTTTAAAAAGTGCATACTGCATTTTGCTGTAGTTTAGCCTTTCGATGCCAATTACTGCCAACATATGCTGAATGTTTGTGTATTGATCTTGTACAGTTCTCCCCAGTGGTAAGTCAGCTGTCCAGTGCTATGAAGTGCCTGTGCCGGTGTTAGACTGCTGGGAGATTAATGGGGCTGCCCTCTTTCCCTGACTATTAGCTGTTGCTGTTTTGGTCGTGGCTAGTACCAGGTCTGGGCAGTGCTGCGCATCCTTTGAGTGGTCCATTGTTCACTGGTAAGGATGGTCCTAGTCTGGTTGCATACACTTTTAATATTACTTTGAGCTCTTAGAATGTGATTTGAATTGTGATAAAACAAGCAATTGGAGGTGTCAGTCTTTCTATAATGAACTATCTCCAATTGGTAGGGATTTTCCAGGCCTGAAGTTATTTTAGGGAGTTGAGAATCTTTGCTTTGAGGGTGCATCTGGGTAAAATGGAAACGCCATGCTTTCTGGTCCTCTGATGCTGCTTGGCCTGCTGTGTTCATCCAGCCCTGC